TTGAAACGACAACCTCTTTGGGTGGAAAAGGTCCTCTGAATTAAAATTTTATCTACATTCTGGGTCAACTAAGAGGGTACATCAAGAGCCCCACTCTGAAATTGATGCCAATAGGGAAGGTTATTTGTACAGATTAAAGGGATAATATCTCTTCATTCTGGCCAAAAAATTAATTTTCCTAGAGTAAACAACAATTTTCCCATACTTATCAATGGTTAATGAATCCATTTTTACATTCAAAGTTAGTCCCTGTTTTTTTCTAAAAAGTTTTTTTTTTTGTTATAATCTCTTAAGAGATTATAACAGAGTATAGCCATCAATGGAGGTCACGTGGTTTAAAGACAAGCTCAGATATCAGAATAATAGCTATAACTGCTGTTTTTGTGTTAAAGCAGAATTTATTGTATTTCTACGAAATGTTCACAATGTTTTTATTGTGAAATATAGATCTCATACAAAGAGTTATTATCCCTTTAACTTTGTTGCTCTGATTTATACAAATTACGCAGCACTGTCTTTAAATTCAGATTTAGCTTTCACAGTGCAATGGCTGCACGTTTCCCCCCTTGCTCTCCTCTACCTGTTAAGATAATTTAGACATTTCCCTGTATTTCAACTATGTTTAGCCTTTACAAATACAATAATTTATGTTTTTTGTAGGTGTGCTATCTCTGTTGGCTTATTGTGGCACCTCACTGGGTTGTATCATATGGTACAATTACATGCTTTCTTTCTTTATTTAAGCAGATCATAATAAATGTATTTCTTTTGTCTTTTGTCTGTTTATCATTAGACTGCATTTTGGTTCTTAATAGCGCCTGAGGTATTTGCATATTGGGCATGATATTTAGTGTTGTTAGTCCAAGTACATTAACATGATGAACCAATTAGCTTATTCAAGACAGCGGTGCGTGTCAGTGATTCTTTATCACAGTTTTTAAAAGAGTTGAAGGAACCTTACCTGAGTGTGATGACTTGCGTGTGGGCAGTTTCAGCCAACTGTGCGGCAGCTGTTGTCACCATTTCTTTTAAATACTCTTGCCCTCTGATGGTTGAACACGCCAGAGGATGGGGAGGTAACACAGTATCACAGGGATTAACAAGTAGCAGCACTGGACCCACTTTGGTCTGGAAGTAAGAAAAGAAAGACATTGTAGGGACATTCTTTCAGAATAAGCAATCTTATACCAGTATATGATAAGATTATTGCAAAAGATGGCTTTTAGAGCAAAATGTCTCATTAACGTATCTTTTGACCTTTTGACCATATCATGCATGACCAAATGAAAGTATTCCATAAATCCTTAAATGCCACAAAATCATTTCAGAGCATGAAATTAGTACTTACAAAGTAAAGCCCCTTCTTAAATCTGCTTTGCAGCAACTTGATAACAGCATCCTCATTCAAAGCTCCAACAAGCTGGGATAGGTCATCAGTGTCCATGGCTGTCATCTCCTTTGGCTTGCTACTGCCTAAATAGAAGTTTTCTATCCCTATACAATTAAACACTTGGTTTAAAAACTTCCTCACATACAGAAAAAGACAAGATGGTTTTTATCACAGATATAGTGTGAAGGTAATGAGCATTAATCCAAAGGTTCTGGTTCAAGGATAATCAGCTAATTACATTTGCATTAGCTGTCACGGCACATATCCCAAAAATGTGCTGTATTTTTATTTTGTCAGACCAAAACATAAAGTAACACATTTTACCTCATTGAAAGTATACACAAACCAATGGCTGCAACATACCTTCCATGCATTTTAATAAAACCATAGTGAGATCATTTCATGAGTGGTCTGCTTTATTTCTCAGCTCATAGATGTTGGGGGGGGGGGGGGGTGTCACGTCGCCAGCATCTGCCCCTTTGTCACGTGATTGGATAGATTTACACCACACTGATGCGTGTCTCCTTCTTACCCCTCTCACTGTTTTCTTTCTTTTGAATTTTAGCCTCCCCATCACCTCCCCCCCCCCCCCCCCCCCCACACACACACAC